GACACTGGATAGTCTGACATTGTCTGTACCAGCAATGTTGGGGCACACTTAAATAAGAGACTGATGGAATTATGATTCCTTATGAAGGACTATACCATTGTAGTAAAATGGGGAAAATTTGTCGGGGGGGTGGGAGTTGGGGGGTGGAAGTTTGAGGGTAAAATCCTAGTCTATACGAAATTGTACCACATAATTCAAAAATTCAAAGTAAGAAAAATATAAAAATAATCTGAAATGATTTACTGTGCTTATAGCACTATCCTTGATTACACAATCTTAAAAAGGCACATAAACTCTAGTCCAGATATCTTTTAATAATGTCATAATTGATATGTGGCCAAATTATTTATTTTCCAGAACTGGATTGTGGACTACAAATTGAATCTAAAAATAAGCCAAAAGGGATTGTGTGCTATTGCAAGGTGCCTTGTTTCTCACTAAAATTAAATTAAACCAGCATAACCCACCTGCTAACACTGCAGGGGAGAATTAAGTCTATGAAAGATTCATAAGGAATCAAATTCTGTGCATCAGGTGGATAAAATAGTACTCTTATTGGGTCTGGCATTGTTTTGTAGCAAGTTATGCTGCTGCTGCTTGCAACACTCATTTCCAGTATCAGAAGACCAGTTCCATTCTGCTCTGCTTTCTCTCAAGTCCCTGCTAATGTGCCTGGAAAATCACAGGATGATGGCCCAAATACTTGGGCGGGCCCCTTGCCACCCATGCAGGAGACTAAAATGCATTTCTTGGTTCCTGGCTTTCTCCTGATCCAGCTCCAGCTGTTACCATCATTTTGCGAGTGAATCGGTAGCTGGGAGTTCTTTCTCTTCTTCACTCTGTCTCTGTCCCTCTTTCATGTAAATGAATAAATCTAAAAAAAAAAAACCCCACCAATCATTTTATTTGCTTCTCTGCTGCCCTTCATTTAATGAAGACCAGAAGTTGTAGAAGTTCAAATAAAGGCAGAAAAGTTAAATTCAGACAGAAACTGACATTTTATTAAACAAAAGGGGCTGTGCCATTTTTCAAGCCAGCGTTCCACACTTAGGGCAGTTTAAATGAGTGAAAGCAGATTTATGTGCCAGGAAACATGTGGATCACGTTCTTTTCTCTGAGGTAAGATCTGAAGGTTATATCAATATCAGAGACAGACTCATGACATGATATGAAACTGTGTCAACTGACAGCCCAAGCCACACAGTCTGTGTCCTATTTTTAACAGTGAAATAATCCAGAGACAATAACAATTGTTCAAAGTAGATTTCTATCTTTGAGCTAACCTGGCTCTATTTGTTTGATTTTTCTTTGAAAGTCAAGAGTAACTCACTGTTGATGCAAAATCACAAAAAACAGAAATGATACAGTCTTCCAGGCTGATACAAATGAAACAAATCTACTTAGAAGCATACATATGTTCTTCACCTGCCTCCATTTGGCCTGCGTTACTTTCCCTAGGACTGGTCCTTGACTCGGGAGAATTTGAGGATTTATTTCTCTTTAGACTCACTTTCTGAGTGCTACATCAAGGGAGGAGCAGGGTTTCATTGTTAAACTTTATAGATAGTAAACTGAACCTAATTAAAGCCAACCCATTACTTCAAGTCCATTTAGATGTATTGATAGTTTTAAAAATATGAGTAAATTTTCAATGAAATCATGACAAATTAACTAGCCTCAGATGAGCACAGGAATTCACCCCCAGCTGCACACATTTTGTTGCTATTCTTGTTCCAGAGACACAGCTGATAAGAATGAGGGCTCTAAGCATTTTCCCTGTATCCAAATACTTTAATCACCAACACTTGATGATCACAGGCTTATCCTTGTTCTCTGTAATTATTTTGGGATGGTCTTCATTTAACATAAAAGTGATATCTCAGAAGTATAAAGGAAGGAGTGAAATCAATAAAAATCACATGGAATCACTGGTTTCAATCTGTGCACAGTGTTGTTTGAATTTGTGATGCTAAGGTCTTAGTTATGAGTAAAAGTAAGAACAAATGTCTTTAAGGGGAAGAGAAGGATTGTATTTATATTTTAAAAAAGTTCTTAAAGAGAGGGAAAAGCCCAACATGCTAGATTGTCTAAATAAGCGAACACACCAACAGGCTAACTAGCAAAAGTAAAAAGACATGGAGTATAGTGAAGTGAGCCTGTCCTTTTGCTTCCCGACTCACAGAATCTATGGTTGACTTGGGTAACAATGCAGTTAAACAACCAAACCCATTTACAGCAATCAAATCCAAGTGCATTTGAGAATTAGTCTACATATAATTGTGGCAAAATTGAAAACAAATATTGTCTTCAGATTAGCAAAAATAAATTCAACTTGTGCTTTATGATCTTCTTAGTTGATATTGGCTTTTAAAAATCTATTTATTTATTTATTATTGCAAAGTCAGATATACAGAGAGGAGGAAATACAGAGAGGAAGATCTTCTGTCCAATGATTCACTCCCCAAGTGACCACAATGGCCAGTGCTGCACCAATTCGAACCCAGGGGCCAAGAACCTCCTTCAGTCTCCCACAAGGGTGCAGGGTCCCAAGGCTTTGGGCCACCCTTGACCGCTTCCCAGGCCACAACCAGGGAGCTGGATGGGAAGTGGAGCTGCCAGGATTAGAACCAGTGCCCATAAGGAATCCCAGCGCATTCAAGACAGGACTTTAGTCATAAGATCACCACACTGGGCCTGATATTGGCTTTTTTAAGAAGTTGCCAGAGGTCACAAAATTGCTACAATATATCAATAGAAATAATACTTATCATAGAAAGGATTTTCTAGCCACATTTCCACATGAGTGAGCTTTCCGTTCTGTGTCAAATGTTATAATAAAATCCTTTTCTCCAATTTTTACGATGACATTTCTGAGGCTTTAACTCGGGGCTAACAACATCTTTCATTTAAAATAATCATACTATCAAAGTTGGAAAATTGTAGTGCATCTGTTCTAGTGGTTTGAAAACATTTTCTTAGAACAGATTTTTTTTTTCTTTAAAGAAATATCCAGGATTTCCCTAGCCAGTAGAAATGAACTGTTGCAACGGGATGGGAACAGTAGGTGATATTATCTTCCCTCTTCAGCGAGGACTCTATTATGTTCCAATCCTATCATATACCCACAGCGCTGAATGAAGAGCTGATGTACCTTCAGCTTGACAACATTGCTATAGACCATTTGCCCTATTTTACTGATATGGAAACAAAGACACAAAAGCATTCATTCTGTGGTGGCTTAACCAATGTACGCATCCGTGCAATGAGGAAGTTCGAACTATCCCCCTTAGTTCTTGAATTCTAAGCCTGCATCTTTTCCCTATCACTAGCTCTAGCCCTCAGGGTTTGGGAAATATACCTGGGACACAGCAAAAAGTGGTTTGGCATAATTTGGAAATCTTTGCTGCCTTACAGTTTTTTATTCTCAAGTGTGAAATTTCAAGTTAAAAGACAGACAGGGATAAAAATGATACCTATATCCTTTTCTTACCTCTCTCCCTTTCCATCACTGTCTTGCAGATAAAGAAATGAATGTATGAATAAATACATGATTAAACAGTGATTAATGAATGAACCTTTACCAAAAGAGAGAGCAGAGACTTGGCTAAAGAGGTCTTAATCTACGTCCAGGGAATGATTTATTTACATTTTTGTCGAAAGATATCCAATGCAACTTTGGAACTAGTGGAAGGAGGGTATAGTTTACTATAATTCAGAAGCAATGTCAATATGAAAATTTGTTAAGGAGATAAAGCATAAATATTTGCAAAAAAATATAATATTTTACTTGCTATTGTTTTCACATAGGGAGGCACTCAAAAAGTCGGACAACTGCAGCGTTTTATACATTGAACATATTTCTCCAAGAATATTCTGCAGGTTATTTATAAATTACCACTGCACTCCCCCACTTTGCCATAAGCAGCTATCATTCATTTTTAATTTACAAAACATAAGAAGTGAATTCTTACATCTCATCTAAGCAACAGAATTTATATGATTCCATGGTAATAGTTCTATACTCTCATAGATTGTTAGGTACTGTCTACTGCCTTATTAAGATTAGGGCTCCACATTACAAATCTCAAGTGAGCATTACTATCATTGTGAAATTAACTGTATGAATTTTATTGCCAAATGAACTACTTCCACTTCATTTGACCAAAGAACACCAAGAATTCTGTTCATTTCCATCTCTACTATAAGCAATCAAAGAAAATTGGTGCAAAAAGATTGCCTCTAAACTATCGAAATGTATCTTGTCTGTTTTGCTCCGTCCCTACTACATTAATTTTATCTTGAATTAACTCATTGGAGGGCATTCTGATCATTTACCATAAGTTTTATGAAAAAAAAAACACAGCATTAGAAAGAATCATATCAACAAAAACCAGCAATAGGGCTGGTTCTGTGGTACCGCTGTGGCACAGTCTGGAAGGCCACCCCTGGGACACAGGCATCCCATTTGGGAGCTGGTTCAAATCCTGGCTGCTTCATGTCTAACCCAACTCTCTGCTAAAGTTTTGGGGGAAGAAATAGAAGACTGGTACAAAGTACTCGGACACTGTCATCTTTGTGAGACACCTGGATGTAGTTCCAAGCTCCTGGCCAAACCTGGGCCATTGTGGCCATTTGCAGAGCCAACCAGTGCTGAAAGATGTCTTTTTTTCTCTAACTCTACCTTTCAAATAAATAAATAAACCTTTAAAAGGTAGCAACAAAACAATAATAGTGGCTACTATATTCTTGAGTCTTCTTGTTGTGTTAAGTATAATGCTAAATGTTTTATATGTTTCATCTCATTTCATCTTTAATAGAATTCTATGGAGAACAATCACAGAAGATAGACAGGATTTGAACTGAAATATGTGATGTTCCCCAGCTCATCATATTTACCTCTATTTGCTACACCTCCTCAACTCTCTTGTATAGTTATAGTAACTGGGGCAGTGTAGACATTATTGAAAACAAATACCGAGAATGTACAAAATAATTCTCACCTTTGACCAATCACCCATTCGCCAAACATAGCATTTCGAATAATCCTCACAGTCCTCAGCCTCCCTGGGTCTGGTAGAGAGCACACATTTCTTTCTGGGATTGGTGCACCTGACAGTCCGATGACGGACTCCTTTGCCACACTTGACTGAGCACTGAAAGATAACATCACGAGATTTTAGATAAATATGTCCAATAGGAAATGTAGATTCTGTTATAAAGATAAGATTATGTTAACTGTAGGTTCTTTAATCAGCTCTCCTAAGCTCATCACTCACATAAACCAGGGAAAAGAATTAAATATCAGTTTACTGGCAATACCAGGCTAAGTACTCATATCAAAGCCCAGACACATGGCCTTTAATAAGCAGGGTTAAAGATAAAACATTACAGAATATGGAACCATTACTATAGACAGTAGTATAATAAAGACATGAAATCATTGATTTAAATGTGGATAATAGACAATGGGCACAATTTAAGTTATGAAATTTTACATAAACATTTTAATCATAATTATGTCAAGAAATTCTTCAGTTTCTTTTTCCCTAAAGAAATGTGAAAAAAAAGTCAAATCTTCACAGACTATCATTTCACAGAAGACTTTACAATGAAAAGAAGCAATTAAAACATGAATTTCTTTACATAACTCTATACCCCTAGAAACCACCATTCTAAATGCTTATATGGAGTGAAAATGCAATTTTATTTTGAAAGTATAGCTACTTCCATAAAAATGCTGCTTATGAAGATAATACATTAGGCTGGAGCACATATGTCTGTTTCACTAATCTTTTTTTCAAAAGATATATTTATTTCACTTTCTATGTTTACAAACTTATTTATAAGTACTATCAGCACAATTAATGGATAGTGAAGAAAAATATCAATACTCATGCAGAGAGATTCTGGATATAGACAACATGGCCTTGTGCTAGCTATCAGTCAGAAAAGAACAAGAGAAAGCAATGTTGCAGGTACTGCACCTCGGACCACACTCCTGCCTCCCACACCGTCATACAGTCCTGGCCTTCACAGCGCTGGGCGGAGGCAGGTTTAGGCCCAGCACAGTCCGTCTCATGGGCTCTAACCAGGGTTCCGTTGCTCAGTTGCTGGGTGCAGGCCACCTGTCTGTTCTGCATCCCTTTCCCGCATGTCCGTGAACACGGTGTCCATTCTGTCATCATCCACCTGCAAATAAAGCAACAGGTACTGGAATCAAGTTGGGGGACATGTACCTAACAAATATGCTAACAGGTCTACAATTAACAGAAGACTTATAATAACTTTATACATTTTTTTTTCACTAATATCAGGCATTTTCTCCAAGACACACAATACTTCTTATTTCTTATCTCAGGCCTCAATAGAACTCAAAGTTTACTTTTTATTATCCTGCTCATGGCATGCCACTGTTTACCAATCATCATACTGCCTTCCTGGGGTTTCTTTATTATGTATAAAACTGACACTATCCAGGAGTTATTTCTTGTTGATCTAAATTTCATAGTAGCCCCATGTTTGCGCTACGACCATCATGGCCATTTACTAACAAAGGAAAACCAAGACATGGAGGTTTAGTAACTTGTGAAGGATGGTCACATGCTCTGGAGTCAGAAATAGGAAAGCAGCAAAGAGGCTGTAGCCCACTTTGTGAGACACACCCAGGTATTAGCCAAATAACAGATGTGTGTGTGTGTGGTTGAGACTCCCATCTTACCTGGAGCAAGCATTAGCAAGGCACTATGTACACCACTGGCCACAAGAGTTCTGTGACCGGGACACATCCTTTTGGATAGAGCTAAGGTACTTCTTCAGGCTGGCCACTGTCTAACTCGTACTTGATCACAGGCATTGGAGAGAAGGACCCAGGGTTGCACAACTTTTAAAGTGTGTGTTTACCTATGTGAAAAGAATTTGAGCTCATGGTCTCCCATGTGAATGGCAGGGACTCAACTACTCGAGTCATCATTGTGGCTTTCCAGGGTGTGCATTAGTAGGAAGCCGGAACTGACACTGGAGTGGGACTCAACCTAAAATTTGGAATGCAAGAGTTCCAAGAAGTGTCTTAACTTCTGTACCCAGTGCCTCCCCCACAGTTTTGAGCATTATGCGACTTCACCTATCAGGTCCTTACAACTCCAACAACATTTCTAATTTCACTGATTCAATCCACAAGTATTTTAGTTTCTTGGGGCAGAATTTTCTTTTTCTTCCAAACCATTATGAGCAGAGGGCACAGATTTACATCATTTCCATCTCCAAGGATCACTCATTCAAACATGTCTCCACATTTACTTCAAGAAGACATCAACATCTATGAAAGCAAACCAATTCATAAAAATCGGCGTTTGTAAGATACCTACATCACTGAAAATTCTCCCTGTGTTTCTCTTTCCTGGGAAAACCTTCTAAGGGTTAAAACCTACACTATTTGCACAATTTTATTTTAGCACAGGGGAATAGTCTTGAGGACTTGAGGTTAATACTGGGTGTCTCCTGGTTGTGCACATTATTGAAATAATACTACTAGCTAGAAATTGCAATTTTTTTTAATTAGTAAAAGAAATGTTTTGCTGTGGCCTGACATACAGTAATGCTGATGAGACTATATAAGAAGGCACTAACGATTTTTGTGACAAAAGTGGAGTTAAAAGATGAAGTGTTTTGGGCACAAATACATGTTTAAATCCATTCATATTTTCTTTTATAGTGCACACTTCCAATGTCCTTTCTGAATCCTCAGTGTGCAAGGTGTGTAAATATCTCAGTACATTTAAAGTGCTTATCCTCATACACAGGCTTCTTTTGCTTCATCTCCCACTTGTTTGGAAAATAAACAAAACGTTGAGTTTACTTCCAAAACATTTTTTTTTGTTTTTACCTCATGGCATACAACTTACATTCCTCCTCCACCCAGATCCTTGGGTATCAGCTACTAGCCCGTAACTCCTAGAGAAATATTTCCAGGCCAACCATGTTGCAACCTTTGCTTCTCAAGGATTTACCAGATGCTCCCTGGGGATATAGGGATGCTCCAAAGCTGCCTAAAAAATTGACTTTGTGTGTGTATTAAATACATAAGTTACTCAGAAACACAGATCAACGTCTGTTCTTATTTGCACTGAGGATACTTCTCATGTAACTAAGCTTGTATATTCCTAGCAATGATCCAAATTTTGAGGAAATCATACTTGTTCAATTCTAGTGTTCCTGTCTGTAAACACGGAGCAATAAATTACTGTATGCTTCTTTGTTTGAAAAAGGAAACATTCCACAATAACATTTGGAGTGCTGCACTGACTGGCACAAGGCTCTTGTTTGCTGGTCCATGTGGTATGATGTGGATCTGTCATTTGGTTTTGGAATGCCCTGCTTGATTTTTTTTTTCTAAAGTGTGAATAAGTATGTTCAAAATTTAGTTTATGCTTCATATTTCCTCAGTGGAATATCCAGGAAGTAATCACAATTTAAATCCTACAGATACCTTTTCCTCCAAGTAAGAAATCCAGGAAAGTACATGAATTTATAAATTTTCAAAATTAAATGCATTTTCCTTATTTCCTGTGTCATGATAAAAAGAAAAAGATCATTTATACCTTGGGAAAACTGCCTCAAACTAATGGCTAAGCATACAATTTATTCTAAAAGGAGAAAATGTTTTTGTATCACACATTTTATATAATTTGAAATGATCCCATTTTCTTTAAATGTCAGCAGCCTCCTTCTTACAAATCTATTCAATGGAATCATTGTCTCTGTTACATTTGACATACCAGGTACCATCAGGTGGTCTTTCCAATCAATAGAAATTAGAATGTCTTCCCAGGACGAAGAAAGAGAAGAGACAGTAGAAAAAACAGCCATTCTGTATCAGCAAGTGTTGGAAAGTTTTCCTAGGATAACCCTTCACATTTGCCCATGTGCAATTACTTTCCAATATTTGGGCTCACGTCACTGACATCACTTCCCAGTGCTTCAGCATCTATGGCACAGGAAGGAAGATAATGAACCCTAACAAGACGACTTCCTGTCTTTAGTGGTAAAAAATTCTTACTGGAAAAACACACTGACTTTTTGCAACTATTCCCTTTCCCAAGCCATTATTGAGCAATTCCCTCCTTGTCCCTTCCCTCCCAAGATAACAAGTAGGTGAATAGAAAATGAATGGTATGTGCGATACACTCTGCTCCTTCAGAGTCCAAGTAAGAGACTGGCCAAGATGCTCAAGTTCTCACTGCAGCTGACTCAAGAGTCCCAGTTGTTTGGAGAAAGTGGTGCTGTTTCATAGCAATGGAAAACTATATACTGTGTATAAAAGAAACTGTGTTCAAAAAATAATTAAACATTAAGCATAAGATAGGGTTGAACTTTAGTATCTGTTAAGTAGGACAGAAAAAGAAAATTCTCAGGAATGGAGGTTAATGGTCAGGTTCCATGTCCTGTTACTGCCGATGCTAAGTCCAAAAACACTGTTCATGTGTTGGTCCAGTCCTGGATGGAAAGGACCCAATGATAATTTTTCTGGGTCACTCTGCCCAATGAATCCACTGCAGCATAAAACAAAAAAACACAACACTTTACTACATGGACTCCTTTTGGAATTAGACTGAAAATTAGACACCAAGGAAGACACAATGTACATGACCAAACTGAAAGCTGATCAATGTACATTATTTTGTACACTATTTACATTATCATTCTTCCCACCTCTTCATTTAGAAGCATTTATTGGTAAGGGGTAGAGTTGTTGGAGTAGGAATACAAAACAAAAAGAAAAAAAAAGAGAATATCTTAAATATATAAATCCACAGCAAAGGGCTTTGAAATTTCAACACTGCAGAGGAAGAAAGTATTTCAAATTTTTCTTATATCTCTGCTTAAAGTGGCTTGAGCCAGATTTATAGTGCTTAATTACTGAATTTGACAAGAAGTTAAAAAATAAAATGAACTCAAGATGGCATACTATATGAAAAAATGGTGAGAAGAAAGGGGATTGAGAAACCAGAACTGAGCAAATGCTTAGATGAAACAAATTTTAAAAACATTGTTTAAGGCAGACAACCTCAAATGTGATTTAACAGACAACTGCTGTCCCCAGGCTGTACTTACTGAATGTGATGGTGTCCATGAGGGAGATACTACACATTCTTTGCATATGCAAGTTGCACAGTGCATAAATTTGCTGTGACATCACTGGAGAAGCTACTAGGAATGGGCCATCAATCCTCTGTCTGCTGACTAAGATCTTCACCAAATTCCTCAGTGGAACAATAATGTAAATATTCCTGTTCCTATCTTATTGCAGAATCAATCTAGCCTTACATTCTTTCAGACACCCTGTCTAAAAACGTTTTGGACTTTTGACACCAGGTTGGAGTCCCGCTCTAGCTAGCATTAATTATTGCATGGAAGCAAGTAGATTTTCAGAAGCATCATAATGACAGCCATGCCAAGCAGTTTTGCTGTTAGATCACTCCAAAATTAAACTCAGGTTCCAGTTATTTATTTTTGTCTATCTTTCCAGTTATTAAGTATCTTTGTTCATTTTTCTGATGCTGTAACAGAATACTGTAGACTAGGTCATTTATAAAAGAAATTGGTTTAGTTTGGCTCTTGTTTCTTGAAGTTGGGATGTCTATGGTCACTGTGTCAGCATCTGCTCAACTTGGCAGTGAGAGTTTCAGACTGCATTAGCTCATGTCGGAAAGGAGAAAGAAGGAAGTTAGGAAGAAAGCAGAGAAGGCTAAGCCAAGGGGTCCACAGTGGCTTCTATCTAGTAGAGGAAGTCAGGACCTAGCTTGCAGTACCAGCGACCCACATTGCCTTTGTTCTTGGTTGGGTTCTGAGGCATGGCCAGTCCTTCTATTTACATCAGCCCTATCAAGTTCTAAAACATCACTTAGCAGAGAATTCGGGAACCAACAATTAAATTCAACTAAATAACCAAGAATTTGACAGGATCATACCCCAATTAATCAGCAATTGTAGCCAGGCTTTAACTCATGCTTTCTTAACCTCCTCCCCTTCCCTAATCCCACTAAGTGATAGTTTTCACCTTGTGGAGATCATAAAATCATAAATCTTGAACCTATTTTCTTAATCTGTGCTTATTTAAAAGATCTTGGTGCATATCCCTTTTTGAGGAATTTGAGACAATGTAATTCCAATCATTTCCTGCCTGTGTTTTACAGGCTACAGTTTCATGACTCAACAGTGCTTTAATGATCACTGCAAGAGGGTTACCTTGTCTGACATGGCTGCTCATTGCACTTTCGAATCTGTGGCTCAGGCTTGGTTAGGTATTTGCATTTCTTATTGTCCACAATGCTGATATTTTTGCTCATAATTTTTGTACAAGACACCATTGTCTTCCTTTCGCCTGAAAAGAACAAATATATTCGTAAAGGAATGACGTCATAGACCTTTATACAATGAACATGGAACACGCTTACAGGCTGACTATACTTTTCAAACAGGTTTTGAAGGTATTTTAGATTAGATTGACAAAAATGTTATTACATATAATATAACAAAATGTGTTCCTAGACTTACAAAGTGTCAACTATAATTTTTCTCTTGAGTAGGCAAATTTTATATTACAAAATGATTATGAAAAACTAAATTGACAGGATAATTTAAAATATAACCACCTTTTAACATTAAGTGATTGAAAGCAGTACTTTTCAGAAAATCTTAGGAATCTGATTTTTGTAATGAAGCGTGAATGCACTGAAACATGCTCATGGACTTGTGCACATTTTATTGTTTGGCTGTTTTAGGGAAATGAGTTTATATTGAGCTTAAGATTCTTATTCTTTTAAAACATATTTACTTTTCATTTTATTTGGAAGTCACAATGATATAGACACAGAGAGATCTTCAGTGCACAGACTCACACTTAAATTGCTTGCAACAACCAGGGTTGAACCAGGCTATGGACTGGAGCCTGAAACCCAATTTGGGTATCTCACATGGGTGGCAGGGACATAAGTATTTCAATCATCACGTGTTATTTTCCAAGTTATATATTAGCAGGAGGCTGAATGAAGCAGGGAAGTAGGACTTAAAACAGGCACTGTGATATGAAATGTCCCAAGTCAGTGTTCTAAATGGGGTTTTAACTCTTATACCAATGCCTATGTCAGAATTTTATTCTTATTATAATGAGAATCCAGTGATTCTAAAAATACATATTCCTAACGTATCATCATGTCTTTTAAGAAAAAAAAAACCATGAGACTTAACATATTTCACTACCTTTCAGAAAACTGCCATTTTTGTTTTCTCTGTTTTGATAAAGTCTGAGTATAGAAGGTAAAAGTGAGAATCTGGATGCTCTTTTCATTTTTGCATGCGTCCCATAAGCATAATTCCTTGGGAATTCTTAATTGATTTTAACTTAAACTGTCTTGAGAAGCATGTTCCTAATTTCCTTTTCTCTAGAGAAATCTTATATGTAATTTTCCTGAAAGGAAAAGCAAAGTAACTTATTTTTAACTGTTGTTTGACATTATAAAATAGCCAAAACAGCCAACAGATGGTCACGAGACATTAGCATTAACAAGAAGTCATAAACTGTCTGGGTATGATTGAAAGGTCCATTAGTTGGAGTCCTTTGGCTGCTAGGACATAATTAGGAAGCAGGGAGCATTCATGTTCTTCAGGCTAAACATGGAAACCTGGGCAGGTGGCAGAGAAGCCACTCTCTCATTCAAGTAGCAGAAGGTGAGTGAACAAACCCCAGAAGAAGGAAAGAGCTATAGAGAGATACTTTGAATAACTCTGGAGAAGTTTTTGCTTTAACTTGAGGTTGGGGACATGAAGAGACAGCAAGGTTATGAAGTGAAAGGGACAGGCACAGTTCATGATACTGTGTGTGGTTGGAGTTTGTCTCAAGGCCCTTGTGGCCACTGGTCCTTTGGCACAGACTCATCGAGTGCCACAGGGTCCTGGTAGAAGATGCATGTTCAACTGTTCAGGGAAAAGAGCCGTTTCTTGCATGGTGCTAGGCTCAAGGCAGGAGGAAAGAAGTTCCTTTCCCTCTCAAATGTACACATAGCTCCACCATCAACTGTAGTGCAGAGCTCCTACATTTATCCATATTAACACAGCGATAATACATGCACATGCAGGCATGGCTGTCATTACCATCTACCTATCTTATTGCAAAAATCATTTAGTCTGTCTTCTTACAGAGATAGCAGAATGTTGGCCATTATTATTGCCTTTTTGGATAATCTCAGTGTTTGATGAAATGTAAATGATGCTATAAAAGCTTGATATGGACAACAAATACCAGGCAGGAAAGCAGTACTTTTCTACTCTTACCAGGAACATATGAAACTCTAAGAGTCTACACCAATGCACCAACAAAGGCATGGAAACAGACATGCAACAACAGATGAAAAGTTGTGTATCAGGACAGATGTATTAGGAATAATGCATGATTTCTAGGAAGAGGCAGCCCTATAGCAGGGTTCTATGGCTTGGCAGAACCAGCATGGCTAGATAGTCATGCCCTGAGTGATACTGATGTAGTATACGAACTATCAACATAAATGCAATGGTTTCCAAGTCTCTGGGGCTGACCCCTGCAGCTCACATGGCAGGCAATTTTATGCTAACTTAAAGTAAAGGAAAGGAAAGGCAAGCTTACATGCCAGACAATCACCCACAGGGATCATTAGAACATCATCTGGCAGAGCATAAAGAATTGGGAGTAACATTAGCTCCTATTATATTAGTGTTCAATACCCTACAACTAAAAAAAGAATTCCAAATAAATGTTAGAGCAGCAGAAATAATTAAGCTCACTTAATTACAAAGAAAGAAAAACTGACTTCATAAGGTAGGAGCTATCTAAATGAATTTGGTATAGCATTTCCTTCACCTTTCTCCTTGCAACCTAAGTTTCAGGAACTCTTTTATGACCTGATACACATTAAATAGATATCAGTAACTTCCCGTATAATGGTAGCATGTATTCAGTGTTATCACTATGTTATCAGGAGACATAGGTAATGACAGGTTTAAAATAAGTGTGTGTTTACAAAATACAGATGATAATTTTAAAATCCAATTTGGAACATTCATAATCAAAAGGCTCCTCTACAGAATAGATGTGGTTTCCTAAACTAATTTAAATAATGGCACTTTGTCAACTATAGCACAAACAGATGAAGACAGACCTTGTCCATAAAGCTTTTGTTGAACATAGAAGTAACCACAGAATAAATATCTAAGAGCTAATTATACTGATTTTTTTCAATCCTTAGAAAATATCAAACATCAATTTGTTATACTGAAGTTGACATAACTAATCTATTGAAGAAACAAAATTTTGATAATTAGAAAGGTATAGGCATTGACTCAAAGCTAGGGAGCATCTAAGTGGAGCTCTAAGAAAGTTTCCAGTCACGCGTCACGTCCGTCATGCCATCAGCACACTGTATGTTATAATGCAGCTCCCGTCGTGAGGTTTTTGTGGGTTTTTTTTGGCAGTTAGGGAAAGATTTGTCATTAGTTTTTATACTTTACTAAACAAAAATAATGAATCAAGAAAGAAAAGTGCTACTATAACATGGACACATTATCTTATTATACAAATAATATCTTCAAGCCATATGCTATTCTTATTGGTTGATTTCTTTCTTTTTGACATTTTCATGTCCCAGTCAACACAGACAACTTTCATTCTAGCTTTAACAAAAGTATCTAAACTAAAAGCATCGAATACTGTGGAACTTATGGAGGAATAGAAAGAGAGGAAATACCTGGTGCCTTGCATGAACCATGAGTAGCTGCAAACAGTTGACAGTTTGTTACTTGCCAGATGGCCATTAATGTCACATTTTTGGTCATTCTTATTAAGTTGGTCTTAGGTAATCCAGTTTGATATTTCAAACACAATTCTAAGCTTAGTAGAGTAACCATTATTCACTCAGAGCTTTGCCAAACTTGGATGAAACTGAAAAGGGTGGGGATTGATTTTATGTGTGGGTGTGCTTTTTGCTCTGATGATATTTAACAAAGACTGGACATAATATCACATGAGCTTTATTTTCTAGTCTTATAGATATAAGTGAGCATCTCTTTTGAAGAAGAATTATTTATTTACTTGAAAGTCAGTTGCAGAGAGAGAGAGATTGGAGAGACAGATATCTTCCATCTGCTTGTTCCCTCTCCAAATGTCCACAGTAGCTAAGAGCCAGGAGCTTCTTCTGTATCTCCCAAGCGGGTGCTGGGGCCTGAATATCTGTGCTAATAAAATTATTAGAATGATTTCTATATAGATGCCTAATGTAAAATTTTAAAATAGTAACTGAAACTTCAATTTACTTCCTTATGCATTAAGTTATGATATTGTTGCCAGTTATTTCAATGTATTAAACTTTTTCTCATTTATTACTGGCAATCCAGTACCTTATAACAGCATTAGAAAAACACCACAACACGCACTGAGATTTTATAGTGCTCTGCGAGCGTTTCTTTGCTCTTACCTAATATATTCCTATGAAGTAGAATAATGCTATTATTTCTGTTTGCTGTGGAAGATAAATTTTGCATGAATCTGTTTCCAATGTTCTGTGCTTTGAACTTACTCTCATTCAATTCATGAATTTGCTGAAAGATTACAGAACTCTTCCTGGCTATAAAAATGATGATATAAATTCAGAAATGATGCGATGCTCGAAATCCTGTCCATGGAGTTTATTTATGAACTGCACAGGAAAATAATATCTAAAAGCCCAGAAATATTTTGGCATTGAAATGAATATGTGCCCTATTAATATAGCCAGAGATAATTGAAAACTGTTGACTAAACATAATGGAACAGCAAGCAGAGGGAATCAACTGAAGTGCAAATCCTATTGGAATTGAAAACAAGTAGAAGGGCTATTTTACCATATCAGTCACCTGAAATAAAAATAAGAACATGCCTAAGTTCCTATTTAATACATCCAGAGAAAACATAAATAATCCCTTGGAGACAAGTTCTACTTTGTAGAAAGAACCTGCGTTAAGCCTGCTCAGTCATTCTTGAAGGCAAATTCAGGAGAAAAACAGGCTGCACTTTAGGAGTCCTGATTCTCATCTTGGCTTCACCCCTCAAGAGCCATGTGACCTGGGGAAGTCACTTCATCTCCATTGACTTCACTTTCTCATGCTGATAATTAAGAAATCATGTCGGGCCCGGCGCGGTGGCGCAAGTGGTTAAAGGTCCTCGCCTTTCACGCCCGGGATCCCATATGGGCGCCGGTTCTAATCCCAGCAGCCCTGCTTCCCTTCCAGCTCCCTGCCTGTGGCCTGGGAAAGCAGTCGAGGACGGCCCAAAGCTTTGGGACCCTGCACCCGCGTGGGAGACCCGGAAGAGGCTCC